TCGGTTCGGGTCAGCTCACCGGAGCCGGCAGGACGGTGCGGGAGGCTCCCCACGAGTTGCCGCAGAGAGAGGTGCCCACCGGCTGCCTGCGCGTGCTCTCGCAGGACTCGGGGAAGAAAAAGGGCGGCACAGCCATGAAGCTCTCGCGGGTCCGCGCGGAGCTCCTGGGATCCGGGCTCGACCCCCCCCCCCGGAGGGGCCTCTGGCGCTGCCCCTGGCGCGCACCCCGCGCCGTGGAGGGGCGTCCAGCACCGATCCCTGAAGTCCGCGCGCTAATGCTTGTGCGCGTTTCGTTATTCGATCCTGATCCTCCTCATCCTCGTCCTCCATTCCTCCTCTTCCTCCTCCTCCTCCTCCTTCCTCCTCCTCCTCCTCCATTCCTTCTCCTTGTCAATAACTTCTCCCTGTCGCACCCCGGGGCCAGTTTTCAGGGCGGGCCGGGCGTTTCGCCGGAGACTTTCTCACCACTCATGACTCTGAAGCGTAAACATTGGCAACAGGTTCACAGCTCGAGGGGCGGGTCGTTTTCAAAATGAGGCTCTCGCCATGGCGCGGCGCACATTCGTTCTAAAGAATTGCAAGAGTTTCACGGATTGTATGCGGTTCCTTTTCAAAATGTGGCTCTCGCCTCAGCGCGGCGCACATTCGCTTTAAACATTTGCAAGACTTTCAAGGATTGAGGGCTGGTCGTTTTCGAATGTGGCTCGCGCCTTAGCGCGGCGCACATTCGCTTAAAATTTTTGCAAGACTTTCAAGGATTGAGGGCGGGTCGTTTTCAAAATGTGGCTCTCGCCTTAGCGCTGCTCACATTCGTTGTTTCGAAAATTGCGAAGGGCGGTTCTTCAAGAGTTTCAACGGATTCCCATTATCAACGTATCAGAAATGGTGTTTTGGAAGGATTCTGGATTTTGCGGGTGCAGCAGCTACGTTCGAGGTCCTACGAATGGCGTTCTGGCACGGTTCAGGATCGTCAAGACGCAACTATCAGGTTGATCCGTGGCGTTGGAATCCCGAGAACGATGTTATGGCATGTTTCAGGGTCTTCAAACGGGTGTCTTCCAACGAGGCAGTTCCATCAATGGAAATGATACGTTGTAGGGGCCTATAGAGAGGGAGCTTGGAGGGAGGGTTTACTTCAACATCGTTGATGACTCTTGGGTTTACACTGGTCCTCCTCCTTCTCCTCCTCCTCCTCCTCCTCCTCCTCGTCCTTCCTCTGCATGCCCTCCTCCTTCCCCTCCTCCTCCTCCTCCTCCTTCTCGTCCTTCTCCTCCTCCTCCTCCTCCTTCCTCCTCCTCCTCCTCCTTCCTTCATTCCCCTTCCTCTCTCATCTTCGCCCCCCTCCGGCCCACCTCTGCTCCTGCTCCTGCTCCTGCTCCTGCTCCTGCTCCTGCTCCTGCTCCCTGCTCCTCCTCCTGGCTCCTCCTCCTCCTCCTCCTCCTCCTCCTCCCCTCCTCCTCCTCCTCCTCCTCCTCCTCCTCCTCCTCCTCCTCCTCCTCCTCCTCCTCCTCCTCCTCCTTCTCGAGGAGCAACACATGTTATAAACATCCCAACGCTGGTTCGGCTTCTCCCGACTTGGCTGCCGATTTCCGCCGATCCGGTGCATTTCGATCGCCGACCCGGCGTATCGGTTCGATGCTGGGCTCGCCTGCTGGAGGGGGGGAGGGGGGAGAACGGAGCCCCTCTGTCGCCACGGCTGGACGCGGCTAAGCTCCGACCTCGGGAGGCGATTTTGACCAGATCAGCCTTCAGCCCCCCCGCTGGACTCTCCCCCCCTCCCGCCCCTCCCCCCCCCCTCCTCCTTCTCCTCCCCCTCCCCCTCCTCCCCTCCTCCTCCTCCTCCTCCTCCTCCTCCTCCTCCTCCTCCTCCTCCTCCTCCTCCTCATCCTCCTCCCCCCCTCCTCAGCGCGGACGCCCGAATGGTTGTATGCTTATGCCGTTGATCTCCCCCCAAGAGGACGACGAGGACCAGGGCGTACCGGGTTGGCCGCGCCCAGCGCGCCTGGCGCTGTGCGCCGGCATTCTGGCAACGGTCGCTTTCGCTGGCGCGTCCGGGCTCGCGCTGCTACGCGCCCGCCGCCTCCGCGACGAGGGCCTGGCAGAGGCCCCTGGCATGTGGGCGGCCCTGCTAGGCTCGAAGGTGGAAAAGCGCTGCATGGGCACCCATCGGCTACACATCGGGGATCGGGGAGGGTACCCTAAGATTCTTCGTGCTTGTTGGATGCCCTTGAGCATCCTGGAGAGGGTACCCTTGGATGTTCTGTGCGCTTTGGCCGACGGAGGGTCTCGTGCTCTTGAGGGATGTTCTTCTGGCTCAGGTCCGACGGTAAGACCCTTTTTTGATCGCCTTCACGGTGTAGACTTTTGGTGCTCCGCGCGGATCTCGCATCGGCGCTGGTCCTGGCGGTACCGCGCGCCGCCGCGCCTCCCGGGAGACTCGGGGAGAGGGCGGTCCAGCGTCTTTGTCCGAGAAGTCCGCGCAGGGGGCTTCCGAACGCGCATGGCTGTGCTGGCGTTCTTGAGCCAGCTGAGGGGATTAGCGGGTTTGGACAGACCTCCTACCCTGACAGGTCGATTGAGGAATTGGCCGTTTTCGGTTCGCGAGAGGGCGTCGCGGCCGTCATTTTTGCGGGTCCAGGTCCGTCGGTTTTGGTCCCAGGCTGTTTTCACTAAAGGGAGGTTTATCAAAGGGAGGTTTCTCCACCCCGGAGCTTAGGTCAGCATTCGAGAAAGAACAAACGCCATAAGCAGAAAGTTTTGGCGCTTCGCGCGGATTTCTTGAATCCGCGTTGGGCCCCTCCGTCGGGGCTTCTAGCGCCGCCCTTGGCGCGCTGCGTGCGCCAGGGAGGGGGTTCCAGCGCAGATCCAGGAAATCCGCGCGGAGCGCCAAACGTTAATCTTTACGCCGTTGTTTCTTTTTCTACGCATGGGCACACATCGGCTACACGTAAGAGTGACCCTTCTGGAGTGGCTTCGGTGCGGGCCCACCAGGGTCCGCCGATCGCTGAAGGCGATGCGACGGTAGCGTCTTGCGCGCTCGTGTGTTGGTGTCCCCGCGGCCCCTCAGAAGCCGCGCACCAAAGGTCACTCTTACCCAGGGTCACTCCTGCGTGCAGTCGAAGCACTGGAGAAGGGCTTATTTCGACCTCCCAGATTCGATTCGATTTCGATTCCGATTCCGATCCGATCCGACCTCAGTTTCCGATGTGGACTTCGACTTCTGAAGGGAGGCCTTACCGATTTCCGCCGGTTCGGCTTCTCCCGACTTGGCTGCCGATTTCCGCCGATCCGGTGCATTTCGATCGCCGACCCGGCGTATCGGTTCGATGCTGGGCTCGCCTGCTGGAGGGGGGGAGGGGGGAGAACGGAGCCCCTCTGTCGCCACGGCTGGACGCGGCTCGAAAAGCTGGTCAGCTCCGACCCCGGGAGGCGATTTTGACCAGATCAGCCGTCAGCCCCCCCGCTGGACTGGCTTCTTCTGGGTTCATCCATTTCAGACCTCCCCGCCGCCTCCAACCGTCTGTTCTCTTCCTCCTCCGCCTCCTCCTCCTCCTCCTCCTCCTCCGCCTCCTCCTCCTCCTTTTCCTTTTCCTCTCCTCCTCCTCCTCTTCCTCCTCCTCCTCCTCCTCCTCCTCCTCCTCCTCCTCCTCCTCCTCCTCCTCCCCCTCCTCCTCCTCCTCCTCCTTCTCCTCCTCGTTCTTCTTCTCCTCCTCTTCCTCCTCCGCCTCCTCCTTCTCTTCCTCCTCCTCCTCCTCCTCCTCCTTGTCCTTCTCCTCCTCCTCCTCCTCCTCCTCCTCCTCCTCCTTCTCCTCCTCCCCCTCCTTTTTCTCGAGGAGCAACACATGTTATAAACATCCGAACGCCGGTTCGGCTTCTCCCGACTTGGCTGCCGATTTCCGCCGATCCGGTGCATTTCGATCGCCGACCCGGCGTATCGGTTCGATGCTGGGCTCGCCTGCTGGTGGGGGGAGGGGGGAGAACGGAGCCCCTCTGTCGCCACGGCTGGACGCGGCTCGAAAAGCTGGTCAGCTCCGACCCCGGGAGGCGATTTTGACCAGATCAGCCGTCAGCCCCCCCGCTGGACTGGCTTCTTCTGGGTTCATCCATTTCAGACCTCAACGCCGCCTCCAACCGTCTGTTCTCTTCCTCCTCCGCCTCCCGCCTCCCTCCTCCTCCGCCCCTCCTCCTCCTTTTCCTTTCCTCCTCCTCCTCCTCCTCTTCCTCCTCCTCCTCCTCCTCCTCCTCTCCTCCTCCTCCTCTCCTCCTCCTCCACCCTCCTCCTCTCCTCCTCCTTCGCCTCCCTCGTTCTTCTTCTCCTCCTCTTCCTCCTCCGCCTCCTCCTTCTCTTCTCTCCTCCTCCTTCCTCTCCTCTCCTCCTCCTCCTCCTTGTCCTTCTCCTCCTCCTCCTCCTCCTCCTCCTTTCCTCCTCCTCCCCCTCCTTTTTCTCGAGGAGCAACACATGTTATAAACATCCGAACGCCGGTTCGGCTTCTCCCGACTTGGCTGCCGATTTCCGCCGATCCGGTGCATTTCGATCGCCGACCCGGCGTATCGGTTCGATGCTGGGCTCGCCTGCTGGAGGGGGGGAGGGGGGAGAACGGAGCCCCTCTGTCGCCACGGCTGGACGCGGCTCGAAAAGCTGGTCAGCTCCGACCCCGGGAGGCGATTCTGACCAGATCAGCCTTCAGCCCCCCCGCTGGATTGGCTTTTTTCTGGGTTCATCCATTTCAGACCTCCCCGCCGCCTCCAACCGTCTGTTCTCTTCCTCCTCCGCCTCCTCCTCCTCCTCCTCCGCCTCCTCCTCCTCCTCCTTTTCCTCTTCCCTCCTCCTCCTCCTCCTCCTCCTCCTCCTCCTCCTCCTCCTCCCCCTCCTCTCTTCCTCCTCCTCCTCCTCCTTCTCCTCCTCGTTCTTCTTCTTCCTCCTCCTCCTCCTCCTCCTCTCTCCTCCTCTCATCCGCCTCCCTCCTCCTCTTCCTCCTCCTCCTCCTCTCCTCCTCCTTGTCTTCTCCTCTCTCCTCCTCCTCCTCCTCCTCCTCCTCTACCTCCTCCTCCTCCTCCTCCTCCTTCTCCCCCTCCTCCCCCTCCCTCTCGAGGAGCAACACAATCACATGTTATAAACATCTCAACTTTCGAGGGTCCGCGTGGATTTCTTGGACTGGCGCTGGAGCCACCTCGCGGCGCCTCCAGCGCCGATCCGAGAGGTCAGCTCATGACATGGCTTGCTCCTCAGGCCACACGCCTCGATTCTCGATTCTCGATCCTCGGTCCTCGATTCTCGATCCTCGATTCTCGATCCTCGATTCTCGATGCTTTGCGCCGATCCTCGATCTCCTTCCACAGGCCTCAGCGCCTCGTCTGGCGCGGCCCTCTGGATCGCCTCCGTGGCTGTGTTCGGCCACCGCCTGCACCAGGCGGCGGCGAGCCTGGGGGGGAAGTGAGAAGGGGCGGGCCTTCTCAGAAGGCGCGGAAATCCCCCGGCCTTGTGAGAAGTTTCTGTTGAGCCTTCCATGGGAGACGCAGAAGAACTTTCGGAAGGCCAGAGGCCTTCTGAGAAGCCCCGCAGGCCTTCTGAGAAGGACTTCTGCGTCGGGTATCGCGCGGATGGAGGATGGGCTGGCATTCCCTGGAATCCAGCCTGACGGGGGCGGCTGCGGGGGTGTGGCGGCGGGCGGATGGGTGGCACCGGACCCTCGCCTGGCGCCGCGTGGAGCGTGGGCCCCGCAGGCGCACGTGCGGGGGGAGGACGGTCAACCAGGCGGCCGCGCGAGTGTGCGAGGGGGGTCGCACGGGGCCAGGACGAGGATAAATCCGTTCAGCGTTCCGGAACGCTCTGAGAAGGCCGCGGCGCCCGAGACATCCTGCAGAGCCGCCCGATCTCAGAGATTCTCGATCTATCCTCACCCGATCTGATCCTCGCCCTGGCGTCGTCTTAGGGGGAGCAAAAACCTTTGGAGGAGGCCTTCTCCTTCTCACTTCCCCCCCCCCGCTCGCCGCCGAGCCAGCCGCTGCACGACCCGGAGGTGCGGTGCCCGCTGCTGCCCGAGCTGGGCGTCGGCCCCCGGAGCGCGCGCGCGCTGTACCGCTGCGGCTCCCTGTGCGCGGCGCTGCTGCTGGCCGTGCAGTCTGCGCTGCACTGGGAGCTGTCGCTGCCACACCTGCCGGGCGGGCAGGCTCCGAGGAGGAGGAAGTCGAGGAGGAGGAGGAGGAGGAGGAGGAGGAGGAGGAGGAGGTAGCAGATAGGAGGGACGATGGCGCTGCACTGGGAGCTGTCGCTGCTACACCCTGCCAGGTGTGCATCAGTCAACCAGACGTAGGAGTGGCCCTTCGCCAGAGTGACCTTTGGTGCGGGCCCCTTGGGGTCTCCAAAGTCGCCGAATTGTAGCGTCTTGCGCGCTGGTGTTTGGTGCCAGTTTGGTCCCCCCGCGGCCCCTCCAAAAACCGCGCACCAAAGGTCACTCTAACCCAGGGTCACTCTTGCGTGTGGTCGAATCAGTCGGCGGCGAGCGATGAGGGGCAGTGAAAAAAGAAGGCCTTCTCAGAAGGCCTGCGGGGCTTCTCAGAAGGCCTTTGGCCCTCTCAGAGGTTTCCTATGTCTTCGGTGAATGCTCAGAAAGCTTCTCAGAAGGCGGGGGTACTTCCGAGCCTTCTGAGAAGGCCCGCCACTTCTACCTTCCCGCCTCGCTCGCCGCCGAGCATCAGAGGAGTGCGAGTTGAGACCACGGCAGTTCGCCTTCGGGGGGGGGGGGCCCTCGCCGCCGCGGCTGGGCGCAGCTCGGGAAACTGGTGCGTTGGGATTCCAGGAGGGTCCCGGGACCGATTTGAGCTACCGATGTGTCAATTCGCCCTGCTCCGAATACCGAGGCCGCGCTACCCTTGCCTCGTATTTGCTTCGCCTCCGCTGGATCCGCTTCAAGAAATTCTGGTCAGAACGCACCCTGGACGACGTCCGGGGAGTAGCGTTACGGTTAAAACGTGCACTAAGGTCGGGTGGTAATGACGCAAGACCCTTGGAGGCCGAAGTAGGGTTTTTTGGGGCGGCGACCGGTGAAGAAGGCAAGGGACGGGCCGCAGAGGCGAGGACACAAGGGTACTCTAGATGAAGGCGCGCGTCCTAATCAGGAACCTGTATCAGTACATTTTGGTTCTCCCCCCAGGCGGGCGATAACGGCTTCAGCTTCGCGTGTCTTGGGCTGACAGCGGCCACCGGCCTTGCGCTGCAGGGGGTCTTCCTGTGGGACGCCCGCTGGTCGATGCCGGCCGTGTTGCACCTGCTCGGGCACCTGCTGTTCCTCTTCTCCACCTGGGGCCTACTCGCCGTCGGCTTCGCCCTGTACCTGCCAGAGGCTTAGCTGCCTCGATACGCCCGCTTTGAAACGCAACGCATACCGTGCATACATCGTCCGTGTCAATACGTTACGTGTGGCGAACGTATCGCGTCATACCTACGTTTTCAGTCTACGTGTTGAGCTTCGTATCAATGCGCTGCGTGTTGCGTGCTGCGCATCGGGGCAGCTAAGGCCAGAAGCTGACAGGCCGGTCCACTTCAAGTACAACTGGTTGGATGTTCGCGAGCAGCACTTCCAGGACGCCCAAGAGGCGGCCTCTTCAAGGCTGCTGACCCTTTGGCACATGCGCGTTCTGCTGGCCCTGCGGCACTGGTTGCTGGCGCGGCTGCCGTGGTTTTCGTGTCTCATTCCGGTCTGCTATTGGATGTGGGAGCGATGGTGGATCAAGATCAAGGATGCGTCGACCGCCCAGATGCGAGAAGTCATTTGCACCAGTCATTGGCTTATCATTCTGAGCCTCGCGGCTCTTCACATCTCTTTCGGGCCAGAGCTTGCCACGGCCGCGACCCTACCCGCTGCTGTGTATGCCTAGCGGAGCATCAAAATGGTCTCAGCATCCGGCCTCGGTCTTGATCCCACATCCCCTCTAACGTTCCTGGCCCACACTCCGGTATCGTTCGTAGGCGGCGTGGGTACACTCGGTTGGGAAGGGGGTCGTTGGGTACATCTGATTCTAGACAGCCTCCTCCCCAGAGCGGGCGTCAGAAGAGCCAGACTACTTTTGGTAGTGAGTTGGGTTATGTAGCTGTAAGGGTCGGAGTTGGTTAGACTAGTTCGTTTGCTTAGAGCAATCGATAGTGCTATGAGTGGCAGCAAGTGTGAAAAGTGTCCGACTACTGAGCGCGTCATATCAATCAAAGGCGAGCAGAGTTAGAACAAATAGGAGAGGCCGAGCGGTCGAACGGCTTAGACGGGCCCAGGACACCGTCTGAAGATATGTCATACGTTGAAGGGTTGGATGAGGTTCGAATATTTCGCTGATTGGGATAAGCAAAGCACGTGGATAGCTATAGTACACAATATTGCTCATAAGTGCTGGGTGAGTGTGTGTCATTGTATCGGGTCCTATACAGTCGGAGGAATTGGAAGGGGTAGGATAGAGATTCGTTTGAATAGGTCAGACAATGAACATTACGTAGTCCAGTTAGAAGAGTTCGGATCGGTATGAATGCTATGGGATACGCAATCACGTGAGTAATATCTAAGACGCCTACGCCGAATCACCGCCGCCCCCCTTCTTTTTGAAACGCGCCTCTGTGGCCAAACAATTGTGGCCAGAGCTCGGTTACGCTGTCGGACTATGTGGACCGCGTGGGGAGAAAAAAGAGATAAGGAGATGGAGGAAGCATAAGGGCCAAGGAGTTCTTGCGAGACTGTCGTGGAATGGAGGATGGAGGACACCAGGGGGCCAAAGCCTCAGTTTTGGGCTGCACAGGGAACGCGTGTTTTCGATTGCTCGCTTATCGCTCAACATGCAGCAGGGTCTCCTAGCTAGGAAAACCGGTATTCATGTGGATTTCTGCCCCGCAGTGGAGGGGAGACGCTGCTCTGTCTACCTTCGCTGGTGTTCTTGCTGGTTGCGCGACCCACATCAACCAGTGTACGATGGCGCTGGGTGATGTAGTGTCTGCGCCTGAAGCGCGTGGTATGACTCTGGCGAGACATGTCACTGGGGTGCTCTCTGGAGGTTTGGTGTGGCTGTCTGTTTACGTTTGGCACTCCAAGGAGGTCAAAAGGGAAACCTACCGCTCATGGCTGGATAGGGTAGTGATGGTATCCTGCGACCTGATGATGAAGGCCTTACGTCCTGGTGCTCCAAGCTTGCAGCTAGGGTGGTTGCCCCTGGAGCTACCACGTGCGCGGCTGGAGCAGGCCAAGTGTACGATTTTTGGATGTTGTCTGCTGGTTTCGTTTCTTGCATGAGCCCGATTGCGGTCTAGCACAAGGCGTCTGTGTCCCGTGACTCTCCCATGGAACTGTCTCTTCGGTGTGCCCGCGTTGATCTATTGGTGCACGTTCGGTGCAAGTGGAAACCGTTTTCTATTGGTTGCCCTCGAGAGCCTCAGCTGTATCCGTGGGAATGGGGGATCGGAAACATATGGGATCTCAGCTTGGATCACGTTTGGGACCCCAAGATCGATGTCACAGAGATGGAGCTTTGCCAGGTTTTGGATATCCATGGGGGAGGGAGCTCGTGCTACATGGGCATGTCGGGAGTTTCTGAAGGAAGAAGGTTTCTTTGGACACCATCCTGATTCCAAGTGGTTTGCACATCGTACTCCCAGGTTGAGGGCATGGCGCTCGCTAGTATCTCTGATGGGTAAGGCTGAACTGTGCCTGGATGCCGTCGAGGGCTCCAGCTTTGGCAGTCTGTCCGCAGTGCGCTCCTCGGTCTCGACGTCCATTCTATGTGCCGAGGTCCGCTGCCTGGTCCCTAGCCTTCTTGAGCTTGTTAGGAAAATCGAAGAGTCGGAGCGGATCGAGATTGTGCATATGGGGCCTACGGCCAAATCCACGTACGATAAGCTGTTGACGGGTCATTCGGCTAAGCGATGGTGGGATTGGGCTCGGGATGCTGTATCGACTAAGCGCTTGAATAGTAACCAATGCTTTTTCTAGAACAAGCCTCCCGTGAGCGGATCTCTTGCTAAGGAAGGCTGGCCTTTTTCGGGGGTTCAGGCGGTAGCTGCTATGCAGGGTGAATGGAGTAAGGACTGGTTGCATCATGGTTGTCTTTCGTCTCATGAGAAGCATGCCGAAACTGGTGCCGTCCCTCCCCTCCCTCGTCCTGACAGGCGATCTGTGCGTTGGGCTCTGGGTCAGTTTCAGAACGATACGGGGTTTTGCGCTGACTGCCGGAACCCGAGAAGCTGGCTTTTGTGAAGTGAAAGTTTTTCTGGACAGGCTTATTGACCTCATGGTGTTCTGGGAGCAAACGCCGCGGTTGCCTGAAAACTATGCTACCTTCATCGTTTTCCAGGGCAAGCCTGATGAGGCGAGGTTTTGGGAGCATCGGCATCTTGCAAATTCATTGTTCTTTGGGGCAGACAAGATGTGCGACAGGGCTGGGTGGTGTCATGCTATACTGTGTGAGTGTCTCAAAAGAATTGAAACGGGCACACTGTTTTCAGATCTGGATAAGTTTTACGAAAGGGTTGCTCCAGGAATCCTTTTCGACGGGACGAGAGCCACAGGATTTCATTTAGGACTGGCCAGAGCTGCCATTCAGCTCTACACCTGGTGCGCGCGCTCTCACGTTCCAAGGAGTGATATCGGACATCCTGCATGCCACTGGCACTATTCATGCAGGTTGCAACCTGGCCATCTCGTTTGCAAAAGTAGTGTTGTACTAATTGCTGCTGGCGCTTACGCCGGCCTTCTTTCCCTGGCGATCAGGAACGTAATTGGTGATGCGTCGTTGCAGCCAGTTGGCGCGACTAAGTTCCTTCTCGATCAGCCTGGCAAGACAGGATCATGCTGCAGGAAGGGTTTGGACGATTGCGTCTGGTCCTGTGAGGGAAGGAGTCTAAGTGAATTACCTTTTGCAAGGAGCTGGAGTTGGAGCTTCGCATCAATGAGAAGTTTTCGGTTCCAAACCGCATCAGCATGTTCGTTCGTTTGGCCGTGGTGCGATGGGAGCTGGGTAGGAATCCGGCGGCAAGAGCAAGAGCTTTGTTAGCTGAGCCGCCTAGACGTTCCAGGAGGACCTTGAGGCTTGAGAGTGCTGGGGCTCCTGTTGGAATGTGCAAAGGTCTGGGCCGCAGGCGTGTGTGTTGGGGGTGTGTGCTGTAGCTGGTTAGACTCCCAAGCAAAGCCATGGTGTGAGGTTCTCGGCTGCTTGAAGCTTGTGCGAAGGTAGGGCTGGGGCGATTTTCTCGTTGAGACTCAGGTCGATCCCCTTGGAACCCAGGTGGGCCCGTTCGTGATCTGCCACAGTAGCGTCGTGCTGCCATGGTGTCGGGCGATGTGGGAGGGGTCCTTTGGTCTGGGTGTCATGCACGCTGTGTTCGAAGGAGCGGTTAGTGACTTCAGGATGGCGAAACGGCCATGGCACGTATGCGCGTCGCCTGCTCATGTATACCAGCTGACTTCAAGAGAGATCGCTTGGAGGCAGTCCTCAGCCAGACATGCTACCACGGCGCAGGGAGAGCAGGTGGACCTCCTAGCTCTAGCACCGCTCATGATCAGTGAACCTGCTTGGCGTGATGCAGGGGGCTGGGCTGACAAACGGGCCCTGCTCCTTCGTCCCACGCACGACAAGGTTCGGTGTGGTCTTGTTTTTGGGAAGGAGCCTGGGGTTTCATCAGTGGAAAGTGTAGTCAGGTTTGGACTGCACATCGCCAGGCCTGTGTTAGAAGTCCTTTCGCACTGGGCACTTGGACCCATGCCTGGCTGAAGAGCCATGGTATTTTGGATGGGGAGCTCTGCCAGCTGTGCTGGGCAGGGAAGGGCACGCTGTTCCCTGGAAGATTCTGCCGCGAGGCCTTCGGTGCAGGGCGACGGCAACATCTGCGGCAACATCTGTCGCGACGATGTCTGATGGCAGCTCGAAGGGCACGTTCTTGGAATCAAGGGCTGGAGCAGGTTGCGGCGGGTGAATTTCCCCATCCTCGTGAACTGCTGCCTGCCCCGCGTTCGATTAGTGGGAGCGGTACCGTTTGGTTCCGCAAGACAGCCTCGGGCGGGCGGACGGGGAAGTCTTCACGGACGCTTCGGCACTCCACCCCGCTCGCGAACGAGCCAGCTGCGCGGGGTGGAGCCTCGTGTGCAGGTCACGGAGTTTTGGGGGAAGTTTTCTGCGCGGTGTGTGCGCCCGTCCCGAGGGAGGGCGCCCCCCCCCCCGTCAGGAAGCTGGAGATGGCGAGGGCTGCGCCTACAAAGTGGTGGCAGAGCCTGTTGAGCCGTTTTCCGATCTTGGGCTGCTTGCGGTTTCCCAAGATACCCTGGGGTGCGCTTGGGAGATGGCCAGCAGCTGCTCTTCCCACAATGCCCGGGCCCACCCCTGGACCAACGTCTGGCAGGTTTCCGAAAACGGAAACAACGTTCATACGGTAAAAGGGCCACGCGACAGTAGCCGCTGTTTTAAGCGTTATGCGCACGGAGTGCGAACGATTGGGCAACAGGAGTGCGGACATATTCGCGAAGATAGTGGCGGCCCTTCACCCCATGCCTGGCGAGTTGCTGCAGTTGCGTGACGCTTTGATTGCCAACCAGCGTGAGATTATGACATTGGCTGGTATGCAGGACGTGCTCATGGCTGAGGAGGGCTGGGCTGACTCCCTGGGCTTTTTCCTGGGCCTGTGGGGGCCGGGAAGGGCTTGGAGGTAGCGCCCGTCAAGCCTAAGAAGAGAACGGCCCGCCAGATCTTGTCAGCCGAGCGAGCGGCTGCAAAGGTTGGCGGGGACCCACATCGATTTCAAGGCTCTGTTTTCTGCTGATTCCCAGCCTGGCGTGCATGTGTCAGCGGGTGAGTTGCATGAAACCAGCCTCCTGGTCCTTTGCAAGGCAGTGGGCTTCAAGGACGGAGAGAGGGCGGCTGGGGGCGGGTAGGTGATGTGCTGCATCAAATGTGGAGGATCTGCCTGGGCTGAAGTCGCCCCTCTCTCGGGCCGCTGTCCTGGCACCCTCCGGCAAAGGACCTCCGACAGCAGAGATCGAGGTTCTTAAGGGGAGCATTCCCGGGTTGGGCCCTTCAGTATGCTGGTTGGACGGTGTCGAGCCACGGATCCCGGACACTCTCGGGTCTTTTTGCGCTTGTGCGTGCTTCGCACAAGGGGGGCCAGGTGTCGTGCGGGGGCTGCTACGAAGTTGTTGGTTTTGATTTTGTTGACGGCCTGCCCAGCTCCTCGCACGTTTCGGCCTTGAACTGCCCGCTCTAACTGGTCAAGGTCTTGGTTGGGTTGTGTATTTGTTGATTGGGGGCAGGTGTCATCGACAACTGCTTCCGCAGAGTACACTACAGTAAAGTACAGGGAGGAACCATGCGAAGGAGGAGGGGGAGGAGGAGGAGGAGGAGGAGGAGGAGGAGGAGGAGGAAGAGGAGGAGGAGCAGGAGAAGGAGGAGGAGGAGGAGCAGTAGGATGATGATGATGCTGATGATGATGCTGCTGATGATGCTGATGATGCTGATGATGATGAGGATGGATGATGGTGATGATGATGATGAGATGATGATGATGATGTTGATGATGATGATGATGATTATGATATTGATGATGATGATGATGATGATGGTGGTGGTGGTGGTGGTGATAATGATGATGATGATGATGATGATGATGATGATGATGATGATGATGATGATGATGATGATGATGATGATGATGATGATGATGATGATGATGGTGATGGTGATGGTGATGGTGATGGTGATGAGGAGGAGGAGGAGGAGGAGGAGGAGGAGGAGGAGGAGGAGAGGAAGAGGAGGAGGAGGGGGAGAGGGGGGCTTCTTGGGAGCCTCTCGGGGCACTCTTGTGACCTGCTGGGTGCTTCCTGGGGGCCTCTTGGAGGCCTCTTAGGGGTCTTTGGAGTGAGTCTCCCTGTGAGGCTCTTTGGCTGTCTGAGCGCGTTCCTTGCCAGTCCGACGCCGTCAGAAGCCGTCTGAAGGGGCCTCTCTGGGTCGTCCTGGGGGTCTTCAGGGCCGTCTTGGAAGCCATCTTGGGTGTCTTGGGGGCCTCTGGGGCAGTCTCGGGGTTCTCTTGGGGCCGTCTTGGAGGCCTCTTGGACCCTCACGGGACCATCTTGGAGGCCTCTTGGGCGCCCTTGTGGTAATCTTGGGGGCCATACGGCCTTGTTGGACCGTCGGAAAGCTGAACAGCAGCGAACGCCCACATCTATCAAAACTTTTGAAATATCAATGATGCTGATCTATCTGGGATTTCTAGAAGGACCTTTTGGAGGCCTCTTGGGCCGTCTTGGGCCATCTTGAGTCGTCTCGAGTGCATCTTGGGCCGTCTTAGGTGCGTCTTGGGGTCATCTTGGGCTCTCTTGGGGCCAATTTTTCGGTCTTGAAGCGTCTCGGAGGCATCTTGGAGGCCATCTAGGCCGTCTTAGCGGCAATTTGGGCCAACGGGGTTTATCGGCTGATTGTGCGGCCTTCGGGTGGCCGGCTGGTTTGGGCCGAAACCCCAGGGGGAGTTAACAGAAAAACCACACATAACCAAACGTTTCGCACGCCAGGCGCCCCCGTGATGAATCAGCAGGGGGCGACGGAGCGAGACCGCCTGCGGCGAACCACCGCCGCCCCCCCGACGTTTGAGCAGAGCCTGGGCGCGCCATTGGAGCATGCCTTCCCCCAGCCGTCGGGGAAAAAGAGGAGGAGGAGAGAAAAGGAGGAACAACAAGAAAGAGGAGGAGGAGGAGGAGGAGGAGGAGGAGGAGGAGGAGGAGAAGGAACAAAAAGAAAGAGAAGGAGGAGCAGAAGAAAGAGGAGGAGAGAAAAGGAGGAACAAACAGAAAGAGGAGGAGGAGGAGGAGCAGGAGAAGGAGGAGGAGAAGGAGGAGGAGGACCAGTATGATGATGATGCTGCTGATTATGATGATGATGCTGATGATGATGCTGATGCTGATGCTGATGCTGATGCTGCTGATGATGATGATGATGATGATGATGATGATGATGATGATGATGATTATGATGATGATGCTGATGATG